ATTCTCGTCAAAGGTGAGGACGACGAGGGTGCGCTCAGAGTTAAAGTGCTGAGGAGGAGGGAAGGGTAGCATGGCAGGTGAAACCCTCGTGCGTTAGTGCGCGGTGGCGGCCATCACATCTCTCACGCCCCGCTCGCACTCACGGGGTTCTTGAGCAGGTCAGAGAGGAACCAATCGACCCACTGAGCGGCGTAGCTGATACCGCTGTCGTGACCGTCATCGTCCATGTTGGGCGTGACGAAGATGTGCTGAGGCAGCGCATCGGCCTTGAGATCAGCAGCAAAGTCGTTCATGTTCCTGTTGCGCTTGTAGCGCTCTGTTCCGGGCTTGGCAAACGTGCTGCTGAAAGCGCACGGGTTGTGCTTTCTGACGTAGAAAGTGTAATCTGAAGCGCTAGGGTCGACGTAATTCTTTTGCTTGTTGTCGTAGTCCTGGAAACCTTGAAAAGGCATGTTCTCCTGGTAGCAGGCGTAAGAGATGCCCTTCTTGTCGAGCAAGTCGTATACGCTCGTGATGTTCTTTGGGATCCACGAAAAGTTGTCATCGTGCAGACCAAAGAAGGAGCCAAAAGCGCTGGCCATGTAATTTGGCTCCGAAGGGTGCGTCACACCGTGGAAAGAGGTCAACGTCTGACCTTGCTTTTGCAAGCGCTGAAAGGTGGCCAGCGAAGCAGCTGCAGAGTAATCGGTATTCTCTAGCCAAACGTGGATGATGCGGTCGAAGGCTTTACCTGGCACGATGGGCTGACGTGCAAGCGTGCCGTTATTGCGCCCCTGGTACGCATCCGACTGTTCCTCGGGAGACGTAGAGGGAGGAACGAAGCTCTGCTTCTTGGCGCGACGCAGCAGCGAGGCGGGTTGAGCCACTGCAGAGGAAGCTGCGCTCAGCACAATGGCAGCGAGGATCAGGGCGAGCGTTGGCAGCAGCGCTGCTTTGACGTGCGACGTTTTGGTCATTCTGACCGGAAGTAAGGGCAGAAGGATGGGCTGGGATCGGATGGGAGGGGCGAGTGGGACTAGCTGGATGATCGTCGAGAGCTTGAGTGGGCCAAGATCATCTTTTGCCGGTCTTGGAAATGGGCGCCTTCTCGTTGGTCAGTCGTCTCGAGAGCAGATAATACGCCATGTCATGCAACGGTAGCAGCACTCAAAGGACGCTTGACCGTTCGACTGATTGCCGCGCGGGGAGGGGGCCTTCTCACATTAGCGCCTGTCTCTTGCAGTGGAAAGGGTTGATGGTGCCTGACCCTTGACTCAGAAGAACGTGCTCCGAAGCCGCATGCTGTGAGAATCTCGTGCACTGAGACGAAGCCCCCCAGCATGCAGCCGACGGCAATTATGAATTGCAAACTTAAAGATCGAAGCCGCAATGGCAATTCTGCGATCGTGAACACATACTCAGTCAAATTCCTCCATCGACCAGCAGAAGCAAAGCAGGAGCATTCGTTAACTCACATCAGGAAGGCTGGGTCGGGTGAGTCAAGTGCAACCAACGCACAGAGGTCTCGGCCATTGGCGAGCTGAAACACGTTCCCTAGCGCATCCTTTCAAGGCTGCTGCAGCATGCAAGCGCTCTATTTCGCCGGCAAGGCCGAAGCATGCAGAGCTAAGCCGCCGCAGTGTGAAGCTCGCTCCCGCGCCAGGACAAGTTGCGCGAACAGCATGCAGCAGCAGCAGCATATATACTTATAGCAGATGCCTATAGCTACACGTACATATAT